AGGATGGTGGTATCTTTAACATTGAGGGAAGACTGAGAATTCTCAAAAAGTGACTTCATAGATTCACAGGAGAAAAAGGAAAGGAAAGGCTGAAGAGCCTCATCCCCTGCTCCTCCTCTGACAAGCTGGGTGCAATTACCAATAAATCCCCAAAACATGCTACTGGAACTAGGACGCAAGGTAGGACAAAGAAACTGTAAACCATACTTGTCTAGAACAGACTCCAGTACCTTAGTAAACTCCCTATAAATCATTACACTGAGCTCAGCACAATAGCTATTCTAATCCATGCTCCTCTGCTATAAAAGCTATGTGTTAGGGACAATACTGGAGATATTTCCAGATAAGAAAATAAGCCCAGGGACCAGAAAGGTATTAAAACCTCAAAAAAGCCTAAGAACCCGAAACACATGAAGGCCTCCACCCCAAGAAACATTACGTATTCAAGGAACATGGCTACTGACTGCTTTATCCCTATACAGAGTAAGTACAACCAAAATGCAATCAGTACAGTTTTTTTTTCAATTTCTCCCGCCGCATGTTTGGCGCCAAAATAATGTATTTTTCTTGCTTTAGGGCAAATTTGGGAGAAAACCTTCTAAAGGGGCTCTTCTAGAAAGTAAATTCAAGCAGCCCCGCCCCCAGCTGGTTTGGGAAAATATTTCCTTGGAGAAAAGTGAGGGAAAAACTGTTTATTTAACAGGCAAAGCATTTACCAGCACAAAAAAAAATGGACAATATTAAACAATAAAACCTCTTGCTGCTCTGAAGAGATTACAAACTCAGAAAATCCCCTTTGTGGGTTGCAGTTCAGCTCACTCAGTCTGTAATCAGTCCCTCCAGTGCTGGAAAGGCCGTGGTCCAGGTCCGGTTCTGGTGGGCCACCGATGTGAGCTGCTGGTGCTCTTCTGGGTTTTCAGTCCACAGCAGATTTAAACAGTTCAAGAAAAAGAAAAATCACAGTCCAGGAACTTCTGTGCCTTAGCTAGCTAAAAACTAACTAAAAAGCAAAGGAAAGCTCTCTCCCACCGTCTGTCTGTTCTGCAGACAACACTGTTCAGGAGAAGGATGTGGGGGAGTGAGTGCTGTTTCTGATAACAAACTCTGCACTTCTTCTCTTTCTCCCTTTGCTCTTGGAACCAGTTTTAAAGGTGCAAAACTTATTTCTGGCCTAAACAGATGAATGGGGATAGAAGCATTATAAAGTCACCTCAGGACACACATAAAGTACCAACTGCTGTAAATTATGCAAGAGCCTTTGAGACCTTACATGAGAAGTGTTATCTCCATCTCTGTTCTTGGAGAATGGCAGAGAACAGCAAGAATTGCAAAAGCAAATGCAACAGCCTCTCCCCACCTTGCCATAAGAAGCACATTAATTGAATGCAGTTTCTACTGGATTAATGGAATCAGTGCTATATTCTTACCTGTGAAAGTGATCAGACTTTCTTCTTAATGCCAAAAAAAGGAACATTCTTAGGGTATCAAGTTAAAGTCGGGGTACAGATGCAAGAACAGAAACACCAGATGGTTTGTACTAAGGCACGTGAAAGTGTCTGCCTTTGTCAGACATGGCAAATTTTCTTAGTCTGTAAAGTCCATCTTAGTGAAGTTTCTCCTGGGTGAGGCTGGATGGTGCTTCAAGGACACAACAGCCAGTTTAACAGCTTATATTGCATTAGGTAATTGGTTTGGTATTGTCTTATCATGCAGCACTGCTTTTTAGAATAATCTCTTCCTGACACTTCAGCTCAGCTCTGCTGCCTAGAGAAAGCAGTATAATCACAGCTGGTGTGGCTGGCCATTCACTCAGCTGCTGTTGGCAGCTGCTGCAATCTAATAAGCAGTCTCAGCAGTGTTGACTACAAGGAAACTGGCACTGTGAAGAGCAGAAAAATTGTGAACTCCATTTGGGGAGGAATGCTAATTCAGTCTTATTTGCCTCTGAAAGATGCAAAGGGATTAGTTCCTCAGGATTTTAATGCTGGGCTTTTTGAGCAAGCCTAACTAGCAAGCTCAGGGTGGAGCTTGTGTCTCAAACAAAGCTGGTTACCTCGAACCCTTTGGAACCCACTAAAGAAGATCACTGGTAATTTCCACTAAAACTTGCAGGTGACTTCCAGAACTAGAATTACAGTCTCCCCTTGGAGTTGCCTTAAGTGAAAAACTGTTAAAGAGGCTGCATTTATCTGTGATTTTTACACTGCTGAAATATGAAATAGTGTATGTCACAGATGTCTTTGAATGCAGGTGTAAATTTTCAGTGCTGCTGTAAGGGCTCTGTCATTTTCTGCTTCTTGAAGTTTATGCATCCGGACAGTTTAGATCTACTTAAAGAGATGAAATATTGAACTTGTATTCCTTTTATCTGAGGCATGCTCTGTTCCAGGTGGATGGAAGTTGGAGGAATTTCTTAAATTTAACTTCTACTTGTTTTTTCTCAGGGAACTCTCCGTTGGTCGTGGTTCTACAGCACCAGTGGGTGGTGGAGCTTTCCCCAAAATTCATTCAGTTGAACCTTGGGATGGCAAAGATGGTGAGGTAAGAGATACTCCATTTCTGAAAGTGCTTAGCAATTGTGTTCAGAAGTGACAGGATAGAGTAACTAACACCTGTCACTGTGAAAGTTCCTGTTGTCACAACATTGTGGCAAGTTGTGTTGATGGTTTCCCATTATCTTAATCCTGCCAGCAGACCAAATGGTACATTGTTCATCTAACATTGCAGACCAGATGTTCCTGCCTGTTAGGATGTGATCTGAAAGGTGGATCACTTGGAGCAGAAATGTGTTTTACCAGTGCTGATTAAGGGAGGTGGTAGTGCATGCATTCAAGATCCCAGCGTTGTGGAGTTCTGAATATGCTGACCTTGCCATCGAGGTCTTAATGCCAGAAAACTTGTTAGGTAAAACCTGTGTAATAAATAACATGGTGACCAAGTCTGCCTTCTTAAGGTTCAACATTGCTGTAAAAACCAACCAAAGTTACTGCAGTCCTTTGATCTACTTCAGATAGATAAAAACACAGAATATGGTAGTAGTTTTGTTACATAGTTTATTTGTATAGTCTTCATCTGAAGTATTTTGATTAGTAAAAAACTCCTAGTCTAAACTGATCACTTGTCCTGTGCTTAGTGCACTTGGACTTTTCTGAATGAAAGAGATGACAGGAGAGAGCTTTACTCTCAGGATGAAGCAAGAATCTTTGCAACTCGGGGATCTCCTGGCATTAAGCACTTCTAAACATGTACTCAAAACCTTCCCTTTTTAACAGCTTCCAGTTGAAGATGACATTGATCTCAGTGATGTGGATCTGGATGACTTGGGTAAAGATGAGCTGTGAGATCTTCAGGAAACTTCTTTTCTTGGGAAAGCCTGCGCAGCAGTTTGCAGCCTGGATCACAATCAGACAGATATTTCAGTGGCCTTTTTATGGAGAAGTAGCACATGACACACTGTGCTATTGGATGCACTGCAGCAGTGGACTGTACGCATCTCAAGAAAACATTGCAGAAATTCTATGAATTGTCATAACCAGTAAACTTGATTGTATTCTTGATTGTGTAACAAATATTTTGAGGACAACATGGATATTTCTTTGGAACATCTTGGGTTTTATTTTGTTGATAATGTGCTGTTTGAGTGTTACTGGAGGCTGTTAGTGTAACCAATTTTAACTGTAATTTTTTTCATGGAGGTGGAACCTGCTCAGCTTCTGTTTCAATTAAAGAATAAAATATTTTTTGACACACAGTGTTAGTCTTGTATAGAGTAAGAAAGGTGCACATAGTACAAGCAGTCCCATTTTGGATGACTCTTGAAAGTGAACTGTAGAATAGAGAGGCTTGTGCAGAGGGGAGTCCTAAACCACCTCCTTGCTGTGAGATCTTGACAGTTTGGCTAAAGCTTGGTAAGATGGACAATCTTAGTTTAAATGCTCTTCAGTCTTCCTTTTCCTCTTCCTTCTCAGGGGCTTTCTCTTTCTTTGTGCCAGCCTTCATAAGATCATTAAAACAATGGAAGTGGGGTTGCTGCTGCAATGAGAGATGCTTAGAGCTGTCAGTCTTTCCCCTGGATTAGCGATGAAGCTAATCTATGTTTTAGGGCATAAGGATTTCCAGGTGCTAACAGAAAACCACCCTGGTGCTGTCTTCAGCAAATAGAGCACTATTTCTTCACTTCCCGTCTGGCGTTGTTGAAATTGCTATTTCCTTTGGAAGGGGAATCAGGACTGTGAATAGGGATGTTTACTGCTGCTTTTTTTAATAAAAATACTGTTATTTTATTGCTCTCCATGTCTTGTATATTGGTGTCTGGTGAAGTGACCCTGATGTGATCAGCTTGTTTATAAATAAGGAATGAAAGAGCTGAAAGATTCCCCTTCTGTCAAGGAAATAACATAATATGGATATTTGTCATTGGTGCCTGTAAGAGATTGCCCGTAGCTCATCCCCGTGAAAGGCAGTGCCAGAACCATGGGCAGCCAGCAGTAACTGTGAGTACATGCAGGAGATGCGCTCCAACTCTTAAATCATCCCAGCAGATGAGCTGTAATGGAACTGTTCTAACTGAAATATCTTTGCAAAAACTAAACTCATGAGTACTTGGGCTGTAGGTCATATTATGATAAGTTCCACAGCACTTTTGAGGATCTTTCCTCTTAGGCTTTTGGGTTTTTTGTTAAATTAAAGGAACTTTGGGCTTGCTCTGATGCTTTCTACTTTTTCTGTTTGGATTTTTTTTAAGTTTGCTTTGTTAGAAAAAGAGGACTGTATACACCTAGTAGATCCATTAGCCACCATACTTTTTAAATTGTTTTATTTCACGTCCAGTAGATATTCCATCTTTGTAATTTACCAAAAAAAATAAATACTACCATAGTACCTCTGCCTCTGAAATATGTTTTTGTAAAACTATGAATAAGAGAGAACTTTTATTGTAGTCACTGTAAAAATTACTAGAAGTGGTAGGAAGATCATCCTGCTACAGTATCTGCATTTTAATTTGACTTTCAGCAGCTAAAGATTGTTTTACAGTAACATGACAGTCTTGAAAATTAATAGATGAAGCTTGAGCAATTCTTCTTTAACTGCAGTCAAGAAGACTGAGGTCAATCTTGAAATAGACATAAGGATAGTATTCTTGATTACTCAGTTGTAAGCCAGGGATGTCCATGCCAGGCTGCAAAAGGAAGTAATGGCTTTAGTACCAGTAAACCTGCGCAGTTCCAAGCTCCAGGGGATTGCTTTTGTGCTCCTTTCCCACAGGTGCAATGGAGCTTTGTATGTGCTGTGCTTAAGGTGGGGAATTCACCACTGAGAATCTGCTCTGCTTCTTGTTTCAGGTTGCCTAATGTAATTAGCATTGAGAATTCATGCCTGTGCTGTTATGAACATGTAGCATTTTTGTGTGCTTCAGCTCTACAGCAACTCATCTGTGTACTCCCTTCATGCAGTGGGATCTGTGCTTGCTGGTTTTAAGCTGTTTTGAAAGGCCTGCTAGCTCATTTATTGCTTTAGCCCAAACTGTTTTGAATTGTAATTCAAGATGGGGAAGGAGAAAGCAAGTACTGCTGCTTGTTGAAGGCCTAGGTTATTTATAAATGTCAGCCTTTTACAGGGGACATAGGTGTGACAGTCCTAGGATTTAGTTCCAAATTAATTTTTTTGCTTCTGTTGATCTGAATGTTTATAGTAGATTTTAAGCTTTTTATATAGAGGAACAGCCATAACTAAGCAGACCTATTTTGTTTTGGTAGCTGTAAACATCAGACACTTCAACAGAAAATATAAGCAATCTCTCTGCATCATAATCTGAGCCTACCCTAATCCAGTCTGTAACCAGCTGGGATTAGAGCTGCATCTAGGACTCCTGTCATTGCAAGATGTGAGCAGATGCATGCTCTAACCCCAGGACAGTGGGAGTGTTCATTCAGCTAAGCTGAGAGAAGCTACAGCATGTGCACTTGCAGTCCAAATACGTACATCCATTATACTTGCTGCTGCAACTTCATCCAGGTGTTTGAAGACCACGTTCAGGACGTCTCTCAGGCGCTTCACAGACTTCCTGTTTGGCTGCAGCAGCATTGCTTGGAAATTCACAGGGAGGCCATACCTCGGAACACAACACACATGATCATCTGCTGGGAAGGGCCACAGCTGTCTGCTCATGCCCTTCTCCCTCCTCTGCCTCCAGGCATGCCCACTTGTGGTGTGTTGCAGAAACAATGCTGCTTCCTTATTTTCTTTCTGAAGCCAAAAGTTAACTAAAGAGTGTCTTTCTGTTTTCCCCTTCCCTGTAAGTGCCCCCAAAAATCGTTTTTCATCAGATTCATATGTCACTTTTTTTGTGGACATCTGTATTGTCTGCTGTGAGCTCCTGGAATGGAAGTGTGTAAGGCATACGCCTTGAGCAAGGCAAAACAAGGTGTGTAAGGGTTCCTCCCACAAAGGAACTGCACCAGGAAGAGAGCTGTACATTTTGACTTCCCCAGGAATCTCTGCCTGCACTCTTGTTTACTCACCTCAGGACAGATTCAACAAAAACTCTCAAGGCTTTCACGTGAATCCAAGCCACAAATGCTTCACTGAAGTTCACCTTCAGCCAGCGCAGTAAGGGGCCCTGTGAGAGCAGAACAGTGCTGTGATCCCCTCGCTGCGTGAAGCAGCTCCATAGCCAACACTGCCACTGAAGCCATCATGGGCTGCTGGGATAGTTCCCAGGCAGCCTAATAGTGGTTCCCAGTCTATCAGAAACTCAAGTGACCTTGGCCAAGTCATTGTTATTTTTCCCATGCCTCAGTTTTATGGGCTAAATGGAGCTCACCAGAGACAGTTGGAACCATAAAGCCATTTCTGAGAGAGGTCCTTAGGCATGCTGGTAGCAAAGGCTGGCAACTCACAAGGTGCTACTTACATATTGTTGTTTCTTGTCAGAAGCTAATTTCATCAGCTCTTCCTTTTCACATTTCAGTTCCTTCTCATCATAATAAAATTCTCGAACCATGAACCTACAATTGAATGACATTTGCTCTCACAAGCCTTAGTCCAGGCAATATGTACACTCATTTCTTTTTCCCCAGGAGAAGCAGGTATGGGAGGTTGCTTTTTAACATTTAACAAGTTAAAGTATGTGAAGGGTAGGAGTTGAAATCACCCCCAGAAAGCCAGCAGAATGAGAGCAGAATGGGCAATTCCAGGATCTGTAACTTGGAGCTTAAAGAACAGGATCACTGATTCTGCTACCACAGCTCCTTCCCACCCTGCCTTCTCAGTGGCTTTAGGACCAACAGAAACACAAGCAGTCAAGGAGTCCTAAAACCAGTGATGGATTCAGCATGCTGCACACACAAGCCTCTCCTGATCCTCATCTCTTGCTAGCCTGCCCTGCCTAGTCAGGGCTTCTTACCTGTTCTCCCTGGCTTTGGCTTTAAAGTCATCCATCACTTTTCTAAACAGGGTCACAGTGAAGAGTCCTCCCTCTGCATCCTCAGCAATCATTCTGTGGGAGGGAAATCCACTGTTGTGATTTGACATGAAATATCCCTTATAAAAAGCCTTTTTTACCTACTTTCCCTTTTGCAATTCTTTTTATTTTCATTTATGATTCTGAACAACACCCTGCTTTTTGAAAACTGCTGTGACAGAAACAGGGAACAATGACTTTACTTGCACTGGCTACTCTATCTCAACGTAAAACTCAATTGGTTTAGTTCCTGAGTCCACTGTAATACACGCATATTCTGCCTGCCTGATTTTTCTGTGTTTCCTGGTAACATTCCCCCATTTTACAGGCATTTGTGTTTTGTGACAGGTGGTAGACCTGACAGCTTGTTTCTTTCTCTATGCCTTCCACCTTCTGCATTTCAGGTAATACCATGGTCAGCTCTTGTGCCCTGGACTGGATCTCATAGTCTGCATGAGCTGAGCAATGGAATATCTAAGTCCTAGGAAAGATTTTTTTACCCGAGGTGAAAGGATGAGTTAATATGGCTTTTGCTAGTGCAAATGACAGTATGCTGAATTATTCTATGCTACAACAGGAAGCAATTAAAAATGCAGAATTAGTGTTTCATCTTTTTATAAAGTACTTTCCATAAAGCTCTACGTGATTGCATATGTCTGAACTATACCTCAATTAATGCAATAAATTGCCTGTTTTACACAAAAAGAAGCAACGGCCTTGTTGAAAGTAAAAAGAAATAGATTACGGGAAAAGGGAAGCTAATTGTAACATTTTTTCTTTCATCTGTACTTTCCTTCAACAAACTAATTTCTATTTGAATTGCAAATACATTAATGTGGAGCCTATGCATTTAGACTAGTGATTTCCTCTAGGATCCACCAATCTGAGGGGCTGAAACATGACAGGGATCTCTGAAACAAACACAGAGCTTAATTTGGAATTTCACTTACTTGGTGGAGCGAGGTACTACCATATCTGAGAGTGATTCATAGGTCTTCTGCCACTGTACGTAGCTTGACCTTTGAGCAACACAAAACAAAGCACAGTAAATAAATACTATATACTGGAAAGCAAATGTTGATATATGTAGCTAATTAAGCTAATAACTTAGGGTAGAAGGGTTGAACTCTTTGTGCTCAGTTATGTCATTAAGATATATTAAGCCTCTCCTATCCTTTCCTCTCCTAGTCACCAGTTGAGGAGATGCTTCCCTCAATGCTACACCCTCAGTCTTCACTTTGGATCTTGGCTTGAGGAAGGGTCAATATCAGGAAACTGATGGTGGGAAGAATGTGGGGTATACTTCCAGGCTGCCACAGTGTCCCATGCTCCAGGACCCCTGCACAAGCTGCTCTGGTCCAGGGGTAGCTGTGCTACATCTGCTGTGTAGCACAATAGCAGATCACAGAGCTGATCTGGTGCTAGACTGAATGCCAGCCCTGTGAGAAAGGGAACAAGGGTATGGTAGGAGTTTGCAAAGAGAGAAATCTCTTTGCAATTTAGTGTGAATAAACTCACATAATGAAGTCAACAAACTTACCTCAGATAGCTTTTTGCAACCTGTTTTTCAGAGACAGAAGAGTGATGGTGCCGTATGTGTGTTGGGACAGGGGTATATGGACAGGAAAGTTTTTGGTAGGGCTCTGAGGAGAACATGGTGTAACTTCCCCATTGTTAGCAGCCATCCTATGTATGACCTGACCACTTACAAGGGCACAGCCAGGAGAGAGAGATTGTGAGTTGAACAGGTCTAATTCCTTTTAGAAACTGGCTATGCTGCAGTAAAAATCTGGTTTTCTTTTAGCTCATACTATTCCTATCAGGAGACTGAGAGCCCACTCATCACTATGAAGAACCTACATGCCAATTGTCCTGCTCCAGCTTTGGCGCAGTCTTTATCTCCCTCTTTTGTGCTAGCACCACTCTTGGCAGAAATTGTTCTTTCTTCTTTGCTAAGGGCTCCATCTGTGTCCCAGTAGGGCACTCTTGAGCTGCCCCAAGCTGACCCAGTACCACTGGTTCTGGTGCTTATGCCTGGGGCTCAGTGCCACCCGGGGTGTGTGCACACACTGTTGCCTTACTTTGGCACCACGACGAGCAGCGTGATAAGATACTCGGAATTCAGAACAAAGTCTTCTTTGTGCACAATGTCTGCCAGGGTCCGGGTCAGCAGATTTCCCCTACAGTGAAGAAGACAAAGTAAAAATAACAGTAGCAGAAACTCAGCAGTGGAACATTGGAGACATTGTGCTGTGGGTGGAGATGCTAATCTGTACTGGGGGAGAAGAAGGCCCAGAAGGAGGTGGGTAAAGGACAGAGCCACACTTCTTAAATGGCTGTTTCATTATTTTTACTGCAACTAAAAGAATCAAAAAGTAACTAATACTAAAGGACACGATATTGGTGTGGCCAGTTTATGCCCTTTATGTAAAATGACACCATTCCACTGCTATTGTTTTTACAGTAAGGGTGTAAATACTTGAGAAGTGCACATCTTCTCCCAGTCATCGCTGCATCTTGTGGGAAGCACCTGCTCTCTCAGGAAGCCTGCTGAGCTGCTTGTGTGACTGTGCTGCAGGCAGAGTGAGCCAGGTACGTACAGACCTAAGCCATCACAGCAGCCGGGCATTCCTGGACTGCTGTGGACCAGCACACTGAGACACCTCCTGCTGAACAGCAGTGAGAGCAGCAGTCTCATGCACAGGTGGGACCTGCAGGAGGTCTCCAGGATGTCTCCACACACTAAGCCCACCTGATCACATTAATTCCTAGGCCATGTAGACAGCCAGGGCTGGCTGGATGTGGCTGGAAAGCATTAGGTATGAAGGGGAGATGCTCTCCCTGTCACTGGGTACGAGTCAAGAAGGACCTAAACTAGCAGTTTTGGGTTTGATGTTCACTGGGCCAGTCTAAATATTAACTAACTGGCTGGTAACTTATTAGATGCTTGTTCAGCCCAAGCTATCTGGCCCTGGTGGGCACCAGAGTTACAGCATTTAAAGATGGATGGAATGATGACAGGGAAGATTGTCTCTGGCCATGAGGTCTCCATTCTTCTCCCTCCTCACATTGCTGGAGCCCTGGCCAGCCTGGCTGGCTGCAGTGCCAGGCAGCCACCTGTGCCCTGTGCCCAGTCCTGAATAGGAACAGTGGCATATATGAGCATGTGTTGGGTGAGGGCTTGCACAGCATCATCTAAGTCATTTTAAATTTACTACTTACTGGATTTTACCATTCTCCCCAGTGTTGTCCTAGAAAAAAACCCAAGTATCAGCTCTGACATAGGGAAAGACCACAAGCAGATGAAGACAGGAGAGAGAACATTTGGGAAGCCTGAACAGTGCATTACCTGAACCAACAGAAGGAAAAAAAAGAAAACAAAAATATGCTGGTGAGGTGCAGGATCAAGGTAGACAGAGCTGTTTCCTATGGGAGCTTTGCAAATGCTGTTCAGAACATAGGGCATAGCTCCATGTGGCAAAGGAATCCACCAGTTGACACAGCTCATCTAATTTCTGACTCCCTGAAGTCCCATCAGAGCAAAACAGTTGACTTTTTCCAAGATTGCCTGCTCACACTGTCAATTAATTCCTGTTAGGAGCTTCAGTCTCCCTAACCTGATTTTGAGATATGCTGACCACACCAGCTACCACCTGTTTTCACTGGGTCTCCAAATGCTCGGTATGTCCCAAAGCTGGAAAAGTTGCTCCCACCAGAACACAGCAATGGATGTGAGCACACACTGCCTGCATTTCAGCCAGCAACAGCATCCCCAGTGCAAAATACTTACATAGTTTTCTTCTCCAGGCTTTGCAAATTTCCTTTAATGTTGTTGTACGCAGCTGATCGGGTTTTCAGGTCTGTTTCTATTTGAGTCACTTGCTAAAACAAAGTGAAAAAATGGAGTCAATGGAGTGCTTGAGGTCTTCTCACCTCAGTCCCACAACTACCACCTTAACCCAGAGACACAGCTGCCAGCTCCCCTAAAACCACCGGCCTGTGGCCAAGAAGAGCCAGGGTCAGAGCTCCCCTGGGGCAAAGGCCTCTGCAGAACCTAGGGTTCAGTCAGCTGTTGCTGTTGGTGTGCTAGAGCTGTACCTAAGGGGCAAGTTCATGGTTTTATTTGTTAGCTACATTGAACAAAAGCACATTATGCCTTTCTGAATGAACTGACAGTGTAAGTAATTCATTCAGCCTGAAGGCTTTTGATTTAATGTCAGATGAACAATCTCATGAAAAACACCTCCGAACTGGAGAATAATATGGTGAGGGAATTAAAGTGCAGAAAATATATCAAACATATCAATGTACTCTAGTGAATTTGATAAAGTGCCATATACTTACAGACTAGATAGGTTTCAATATATGTATCATTACTATTGCAGTAGAAAATAAAACAATATCAACAGCTTCAGTATAAAGTGTGTAATTCTAATTGTTCCTGCCCAAACCAAAGGCAAAGGCTCCTCTCCCACCATGAGAGGAGAGATCACAAGCAGCCAAAAGACATGCTTCCCCATGCTGACATCTCAAAATCTGGAGTACAATTTACCTTTGCTAATGCTTCTGATATATTCTTCAGTGGCTGCTTTATGGGGTATTTGGCCATGTCCCACTCAAACCGTGTCAAGTAGCTAATTAGGTCAACTGAAAATACAAAGAGATGCATGAAAGCAGATAGTGTACCAGATGGCAGCTCAAGCTTTGGGGAGTAGTCCCCAGCTATATCTCAGGCATAGCTTTGATTAACTTCAGAGCATTAACCAGAAGTCCACTTCTCAATTCTTATAGAGATTTGATCTAGATAAAATATGCACAGATCCTATGCCCCATCTAATCAACTTCCTAAACATCCCCAAAAGTTAAAGGTGAAACCAAAAATATTTTCTGCACTACACCTAACAGTAGAGACAAAGTGTAAAATTATCTGTATCAGTGGGACACAGCAGTGTACAGCTACTCTTCTTCACAGTAAAAACAGTTTTATGTAATCTCAGTCTATATTTCTGCAATATGCCTGAATTTAATCCAGCAATGGCTATCAGAAAAATACTTTGTGCCCAGGATCAGCAGTAATATTCAGGGCTGCTAAGAGCCTGATCAAAGGTACTAAGACCATAGCAGATGTCACTTCTCTGTGATTCAGTCAAGTGCTCACTAGAAATTAAACAAATGCAGGTGTGATGAGGAATTCCTCATTGGCTCTGTACACAGAGGTCCCCATTTCACACAAAGCTAGAGACCATTTATATAATAGATAAATCCAGTCACAGCATCCAAGAACAGAAATTCACAGCAAGGACCTGTGCATGCAACCCCCAAAACAAAGCACCCTTGGACATGGGGACCCACAGCATCTTTCCAGAATGAAGGGGAAATGAACACATAAAACACCCAGCTCCTAGACCAAGATTTTCCTGTTTCACTGTTTGAAGATCAAGGGCTCTTAATGTTGGGAAACATTAAGGCTTAGTACATTACAGTATCAAGTAAAGAATTCTCCTCCAGCAGCTCATGAAATCAAACAGCTCTTTGTCTGAGTCCGGAGAGCCTTTGGATTCTAAACTCACCACTACATAGTGTTCTTGCAGACCTTTATAGGATGGGGTAAAGTCATGCATCCTGCCATAATGAGAAGGGCTGGGACTGCCCCCCAGAAAGTTAGGGAGACAAGGGGAAGGCAGCAGGCAGGGTCTCAAGGTCTAGACAAAGAGGCTAGAAGCACTGTGACCTAAAGGATGGCCTTCCTTCCAGACCAGGAGGGTAGATATGGAGAATGTCTGGGACGTTGCTCTAAGTGATAGGGAGCAAAACAAGCTCAAGGTGCCAAGTAAAATGACATGCATGCTGGGGCCCTTCAGTGTTCTTTGCTGCCCTGTTCAGGGAGTGAATTCAGTCCCACAGCAAGGTTTGAGCACAATTTCTTATGGGCTGGAATTTGAGGTTTAGGGGAAAACTTTTTGAACCAAGTTGCATGAGAAGGAATGTGAATAACTGTGTAACTGCCATACTACCAGGCTGAGGGGACTCTGCGGTCTCATGTGATACTGAACACCCTTGGCAGGAGAGCACTATCCTTTCCATGGGCTTCTCTCACCCCACAACAGAGTCAGTTTACCCTATTAGATTTCCAAAGCACGGAAAATCTTATGTTAGGAGAAATAGGCTTCTTAGCAAGAGATAAACTGCCTGGAAGGCAGAGAGCACTTGCCACGGCAGTGTTCTCCCCTTCTTCCAAAACCACAGCTGTGTCAATGTCCCTCACATTCAATGGACAAGAGTCTCAGGGCAAAGATCCAACCCTTCCTGCTAATATCTCATCAGGAATGAGCAAATTCTCCTGCACAGGAGGGTGTAGAAAAGGGGCAAAACTGCAGAAGGCTGGGAGAGCTATGACACAGCTGCTGCATGCACAGTTCTCCATTAATGCTTGCTCGTGATCTCTGTGGGGAAGGCAGATGGGTCAAAAATACTTAAGCACCAAAGTTCACATAGCATTTTCAGCACAGGGCACACAACACACCTGCTGCCTCTCTTCTAAGCTTGTGAGCTGAGGCTTTGCAGACACGGGCTCTTTAAAGACAGACACTGACCAATTTATAGCTGATGAGATATAAAAGTTCCCTGAAGAACTTCACATGTCCTTTCTATCCTCACATTCCTTGAATCTCAGCAATATCCAGATGCTGAGCAGTTGAGCACAGCATGAGTTCTCAGCCCAGTTTCAAGCTCAGTCCTGAGTGAGCTTGCCAGTGCTAGCTGGCACTGGTGCAGGTTAATTAGGCAGCCTGATCTTGGGGGTGGCACAAATTACTGTGAACACACTAGCAGAGCTGTGTTTAAAATGCCAAGCAGCCCCAGCACCCTGATGCTCCTGGAATGGCATTCCTCTTTTATGGAAGCTGTCGAGTCACTTCTAAAAGGTTTCACACGGCTGCCCACCTAGGAGAGATGATTCCTACCAGCTCACAGCTGCCCAGAGAACCCACAGCCTGCATGTCTCATAATCACATAATAACACACCAGCTCTAAAATGCAATATTAAATACTTCCTCTCTAAAGCATTCAATTCTTCAAAATTGTTATGCTTCCCATTTTGCTTTGTTTTGGACTCACTATAAAGAATGGAGTTATTCCACCACTTACCAAATTTTAAAATTAATTTAGGATTAACATTTTAATGAATGTAAGAGAATTTGGTATGAATCTTTGAAGAAAAGCTTTACTTACATTTCAAGAAAGGTTGTTTATGCTGTTATGATATATTAAAAGTTTCTATATTACACAAGCACACATTTCCCTCTATAAGAGAGAAATTTGCATGTGGCTGCTTTCAGCTGTTATCCACTGGAAAGTTAAGTGTCTGTGTATGAGTGCAAGTTCATGTAACTAAAAGTGCTGTATTTTTTACTATTTTGCAATTTTTTTCCTAAAAATCTAGCAAAAAAACTTTTTAGACACATAGCCACTACCAAACTGCTATTGGGTTTATGTACAAGTGAGCTAAAGTCAGCGTTACTAAAAACCATCTTGGGATGGTTGAATAGTATGAAACAGGACCATGCAACAAGAAATCATGTCTTATAATGTTGTTTCTGATTTCACAGCCTCGAGGAAGGCTTCAACTTTATAGTTCTTTTACTAATCAGAAAGGGAAGGAGGAAGAATTAGTCCAGTAAAGTTGCTGATGCGTATGAAGACTGACACTGGAATATATTAGGGGAATCCTCATATAGTAAAGCTGACTTCATTTTTTAAGATGCAGTCAGTAATCTTAAAAAGGTTCATGTCCAAGTTCAATATGATTTGTTTGGATGACCAAACCCAGACAGAGGAATTAGTAATGCATGCAAGTAATTTCCATATCCTTCTAACACATGCAGAGCTGATGGGGGAAAAAAAAGGTGTAAAAAGGATAAACAAAGGAAATTAACGAAACCTGTTGTTTCTCAAGTCATAGGGATATCGTGATCAAGCTACGAGGTTGTTACTTGAGAAATCCATCGTAACCTGATCACTGTACCTCTACAACCAGACCAAGACTTGTGTCTAGCACTAACATACACAAATGCATGCATGTAACAACACCACAACCATCAGTCCTCAACATACTTTGGAGACATTTCATTTTATCCTTTAGCCCTGAAACACAGTAAATGGGATTATTGTATTTCTTGAACAGTTGTACCCTCAAACATCAGTTTTATATCATTCAAGGACATTTCTAAAAGAACTTCCTCCCCATCCTTTACTAATACAGGTCTGAAGTACAACACTGCAGACAAAGGGAGATGGAGTATACACTCTTAGTTTATCCAAAAGCATCATGCTGCAAGTCTGTAATCAGCATGCATACCACATCCAATTTTGTTGTATTTTTCCAGAATAGCTGGGGAATGCAGCTTACTGACAGATCACTGACAGTTGTCACACCACCATAAAGAATGAGATTTAGGTGTCCTTAAGAAATCAAGCCCAGGCAGGGCACAGGAGTGTGCTAAGTCATGTTACGAGTGAACATGTCTCTTACTTTCATCTTCACTCCAAAGTTAGCTTCTGCTGAGAAAAATGGGAGCAGGCTAGACACGTTCTTATAAAATGTTGCTGATGGTTGTCCTTTCTGAAGTGTGAGGGTTGCAATTCCACATATTCATATTCTGAAGCAAGCAAAAGCAGCATCAATGTATTTAAATTCCCACATTCACAGCACCTACCTCCATTGGCCAGAAGATTTTCCTGGACTTTATCTTTTGAGTCCTCCATTACTTCTCCTATGTACTGTGCTATTTTCTTTATTACGCTTAAGTGTAACAAAAGAAACTTTGTTAGTGAAGAAACAAAATTATTACAAAACAGTTTCACTGTGATCTGATAAACACAGAAATGCCCAAACAAAACACTTCTGAAGCAAGGCAGGTTAATTTGCAATTCAAATTATAATAAAAAATCTAGGACACAATGCAGAACTAAATGTCTTACCTCTAAATACACTGATCTCTGCAAAAACATGGGTAATGTCATTTTGCCTGTGCTCTGGACTTACAGAATATCAAGATTCAGTCTTCTGTACACTCATTACATGCATAGCAGAAACCAGAAGGCAAGAAAGGCAAGAAACTCATGTTTAAAAACCCCAAGGCAATGAAGGAAAAAGAGGCTACATATAGACACTGACTAAAGATCTGTTCCACAGGATGCTAAAGAAATCCTTAAGGCTCACTGAGAAAAGGTTCTCAGAAAATATCCAGGGAAAAATAGCAGTGCTATCTTGCTTGATGGGAAATTTCTTTCTTATTCCTTTTCTTTACACGATTCTTTCTCTCTTCTCTTTTAGCATGGGGGACAAGACACTCCTTTAAGGCGTAGGAGTGCTAGATTCAAATCCTTCTGCCCAGTCCAGAGTAGTGATTTGTACAGAGACCCTCCTAGAGAACACAATCTCCACTGTGCCACTTATTCTTTACTCATTTTAATAAATGGATTAATTAAGTCCCTCTAACAGTAGTTCCCCCTGTCTCCAGTCAAAGTACCTGTTTAATATAGGCTGCAAGACTTTCTGGTTAAGTATCCTTCTGCACTCAAAAATATTAATAGAATTTGGCCTGCAGCTCCCTAACTGTCCTAGGTTGACTACATCTTGTATAAAACCCAGCAGCTACAAGGTTACTGCCTGACCATTAAATTGGCAGACACAAAGTGGACATAATCCTTGGCCTTGTGACAGGGAGTGTAACAGCAGGCTTCATTTCTGCTTCATTTCTCTTTCTTTCCTTACTGAGAGGAGGCTACAGCTGCAGATGAGCTGGAGACTGAAAGGGCATCTACAGTGTTTGGACATTGTGTTATATGATTGAACAATGTGGTGTTGTGACCAGCCCTGTGGTTTTCAAGAGCAGAAAAGGGACTTTGGGCCAGGTATACATACCAGGAAAGCGTCAGAGAAGAGGATTTTTCTTTCAGGTGCTGCAAAGCAGTTGCATCTATCTTTGTTACTGTGAAGAAACTTAAGAGTCTTGGGAAAGGTTTTCCAGTCCTATGACAGGTAGGAAAAGTTTGAGATTGCTGATGCTGCCAAGAATGCAGTACTCAAAATCTGTGCTGTTTGGGGTCAATTCAGTCTGAAGAAGAGAAGATCTTGTGACTTCAATATATAAAGGGCTCCTACAAGAAAGTTGGACAGAGGCTTTTTACCAGTGCCTATAGTGACAGGACAAGAGGCAGCAGTTTTAAACTAAGAGAAGATTTAGCCTGGGCATAAAGAAATTCTTTACTGTGAGGGTGATGAGGCACTGGCAGAGGTTGCCCAGGGAAGTTGTGGATGCCCAGTCTCTGGAAGCATTCAAGGCCAGGTTGGATAGGGGTTTGAGCAACCTGGTTTAATGAAAGGTTTTCCTGCCAAAATCATTCTTCTCATGACCCTGGACAGATGCAGTTCAGAGTGCCTGTAGGAGGAATGTACACCACTATGCTCCAGTTCACATTCCTTTCTCAGAGCTGCTGCAGTGTTTCACCACCTGGCTGCAGCCCGGTAAGAGCCCAGCAGCAGCTGAGGGCTGTTAGAGTACAGCACATGTCGCCCACACTCAGGCAGTGGGGGGGGATGAGGGATCCAGACAGAGGTTCCCTGACAGTTGCAACCTTGCCAAGCACTTCTGCAAATTTCAGCTTGTAGATAGAGCTGGTTTTTGTTTCCTTCCTGATGCTCAAAGAGCCCAAAGAACTTGTAACAAGGCAGCAGTTGATAAAACCAGCATAGCAGGAGGCTAAAGACATTATGGAGAAAGCATTTCCCAGGGACATGTATAAACCAGGAGCTTCTCCAGAAGGCCTGAGCTGCTTTCATTACCCTTGAGTGCATCTGGTGGCTGACCTGACAGGTGGGAGACAGCTCTGGCCTCTCTCCATGGATACAGAGGGTGGGACAGGTGTGTGCTCTCATGCACCTGCCAGTCCTACCTGCCCAGGAAACGCTTGGCTCCCTTCCCACCCACACATCCCGTGGTCCCTGCAGCAGGATACAGCCACACTGTGTGTAATACACTGTGCCAGAGGAATGTTCTCCAGTACTGTCTTAGATGCTGTGCCTTGCATCCTGTGAAATGCAAGTGGGATTCACTCACTCAACATATTTCCCATGCAAAGACAGAACCTATCCCCTCCACATCTCTGATGTCTGGGGCAAATGACAGGAATCAGACCCCTGGAAGAGCCCCACTGTCTACACTGACATCCAACAATGGACAGTTTTCACAGCCAAATATCAGATCTCTGCCTTTAGATAAGATGAATCCCATCTTGAGCAAGTATTATGAACAAATAATGCATTATAAAAAGAGAGACTTTCAGCAAAACTGCTTCAAGAAGTAGTAATAAAAATCTGTAAAGGGAGTAACTGCATTTAACCTACTATTATGTCTTGAATGTTTTGCTTCTGCAATGGCTGCAATGTCATTAGCTTCCAAAAAAAAAAAGTCTAACACTCTTAAATGATACTGAGAAAGAAAGGGTGCCACCCACCAGGCCTCCAAAACACTGCAGAGAGCAGAAGTCCTGCAATCTGAGGCCACTCCCAGGTATGCCACTGACCAAGGACCAGAGAAAACCTCTGGGTAAGAGTGACCCAGGAAACTGTCAGCTTTTGAGAGAGCACCATGCTACCACGGGATGACATGGAAAAACACTCCTCCTCCCTGTGTAAATAAATAATAAAAGTATGTGGAAACAATAGCTCCTGCAAACTCTTGCCCCTTCTCTGCTGTCCTGGCAAGAGGCAGCGCTGACAGGTTTGCACTGCCTGGCTTTACTGGCAGCTGTGTTTATCCAGCAACAGTTCAGCAGGCAGCTCTTTCATAGGACCAGGAACATAAATGCTCAGGTCATCTGAACAGGCTTGTAACCCTCTGGATGCTTTTCTTCAACCAAGTGCGAGAGCTTGTGGCTTGAATCACAATTTAGACATAAAACCTGAGGCATTTATTCAATGCAAAATGCTTTTGTATGTCCTTGTGGGACTCAATCTGCCAATACTTTTGATTATTCTGTTATTCTCTTTTACTACTCTAATGCATTTTTCTTATTTTCCAAAACATCTTTCTTATTTTTAAATCTTGTTGGTCTTTCCTGGTTATCTATCCTGACAGGCAAATGAGACAAACAGGAAGACTCCTTGCCTCAGCAGATTACAGTGGAAGGGCCTCAATGACCCCTTTGCTCCGTGTCCCTAGAGCCCATCAGAGGGTAAGAGTCATTACTGGCAATAAAGGGACAATTAGTGGAGTAAAGTGGTGTTCAGCTCGAACAAGCAGCTGTATTGTGCTGGCAAGTAAAGACAAAGATGACAGGAGTCAGTGAGCCTAAGGAGCTTCTACTGACATTTCACTTCTAACTGCCCTCCACTATCTTACATGGATTCTGCACTCAGCTTTTCAGAACTCCTAATTCTTCACAAAGCTGGGAATTAGTTATGCCTTTCTGAAAAATCAGTTCTGATGATTGCTGGCAGCCCTCAAACCCAGATCACACAGCTGCTTCCTGTCTGCTACCCTGACTAGAGACACAGAATTACAGAATATTCTGAGTTGGAAGAGATCCACAAGGATCCACAAAGATCATTGAACACTTTCCATTAGAACAGATATGGGCACTGTCTCTCCCCAGATTTGCCCCCCTCTCCACTTCCTTAAGAATTTCTGCAATTGAATAAGAAGCTGGAACATGTTACAAAGAATATGGGGCAGTATTTTTGGCAGGGTCACAATGGAGATAGTTTTGTTGATAACTTAAGTTGCTCTTTTTTGCTTAAAGTCCTGAAGAAATAGTAAGGTTTAGTTTTAGGTAGTTCTGTGAGGAGCAGGGTGTTGGACTTTCAACTCAAGATATGAATCCTGTCCATGATTATAAAATATCAGTCTTGTGTGCAACCCAGAATTATCATATGCAACCATTCTAATACAACCCTTGTGGAGCAGTAGTAAAACCAGAAAAAAAAATGCTATGGAGAAATGTATTCTAGCAGACCAACTTTCACCTAAAGTGCCTAGCATAGATGCAAACAGTTTATATCAGGGTTTCTGTATATCTTTGCCACTGCCACACAAAGATCTATGAAAGGATTGAGCATATTTAGACAAGAAAATGCTTATCAGTCTGGACTGGGAGAAAAAATGCAAGAAGACCCAGAGCTAACACATGTGTCTGTGACCAAAACTAGGTAAGCTGCCAAAGCAAAAACTAGAACAAAGCAGAAAAAACCAGCAGCTTATACCTTCACTGCCTCAAAGTCTACCTTGTGCCACGAAGTATCTTAAAACACATCATTTTTTTAGATTGCTGTGCTACATTATTCTTTTGTGTACCCAGGTCAGTTTGTCCCAAAAAGCAAACTTGGTAATTGTCAGCAAGGAGATCATGTGAGTCATTGCTTAAGTAGGTTTGATGCAATATGAGTCAATATTCTGGTTTTTAAGAAGTTTAAAAGCCTGAGAGGGAGCAGTCTGGACTTCATTCAAAAGAACATAATCCTTAGATGTCCTCTATCTGGCTGAAAAGGAATAGAAGGTTCAACAGAAATATTCTGTCACAACAAGATCAGGGAGGGCTTCACATTCTCTAAAAGTTGTTTTATCAAGTTTCTGGATGAGGTGGGAGGATATTCTTTAAAACAAAAACACAAAACAAATATCCCCACAATCCAACATTTAAAGCAGTTTCCTTATGAGAAACAGCTTCCCTAGCACTTGAATGGATTGCTATGCTAACAAAGTTACCATGGATATAATTCAGCTAAATTTTAAGGAATGATCCTTTCTTTGTGATAATTCCATGACAATCAACACAAGGGTTAAATAGAGCCTATCCACTTTAGTCCAGTTGCAGTCCAGCCTGAACTGAGTCAGACCGAGGTGAACACAAGGACATACCATCCCATAAAAACAATGTCTGTTTCTCATTTGTAGGTGGTAAATAAGATCTATTTTACCTTTCAGCAAAGCTATCAAGTTTTCCCAACTCATCTGACAGACCAACAAGAGCATCCAGTGTCCCCACCTGCGCAAAAGACGAGAAATAGGTGAAAGATGCACAACTCTGTCTAAGGCTTTTGTTGGCAGAACCTTAAGGAGCCTGACTTGTCCTTAGTACACTTGTCCTTAGTGAATTTAACAGTTTGGCAGAACTTATTTACTTGGTGGAAAATACAGCAATTCCTTTACCCAAGAACTAGGGCATAAAAAGCCTTTTCCAATAAAGGAAAAAAGTATGTGTAGTGTCAAGATTACACGTCAGTGTCTTTCTTCCTGTTTTCACTTCATCCTCTAACATCAAGCTGCATAGAATAGTCTTTAATCAGACAAAACAGTGACTGGAAATGCACACAAATAATAATGCACACAAATAATGCACACACACAAACAAGTCAGATGTACTAAGAGAACAAAGGAAAGCAGCACTTTTTCAAAAGGGGGTGTCTGTCTGTGTTCTGTTATTACCAAAGCAAGTCTCTCACAAAGCCATTTCTGACCAACATCTGCTTTTTGAATCACTGTCAGTCATAACCCCATATTTATGGTATTGCAGCATATTGCCAAACCTTTTCTTGTAATGTTGCCAGCTCAACATTATGTAGGGTCAATCTAAGGGAGAAGAAATAAATTTTATGTAGAACAAATAGAATGCAAATGGGCATCTTCAGATACTCCAAATGCTTTACTTCCTTCAACATAGCAGACTCTCACCACCACCAGTGGGGTAAGGTCCACAGGTGATAAAAATAAGGTCCATGGATGATAAAAATTCTATCAGTCTCAGGTGTGCATACAAAAAAGCAGCACTCTTCTCTGTCAGTAGTCTTGCTGCCGTGGCTGGATAGTCAGGTACTCCCTTTGCATTAGCAATCCATGATGCACTAAGCTGTATGACTGACGACTAGGAGCAAACTGTACATGGAATGCAATGCAGTTATTTAACATCTCACTTATGTTCACTTTTTATACATCTATCCTTCCAATGTGAAGCTCAGCTTCAAGCACAATGATTTATTTCTCTCTGGTCAATTTTCAGTTGCCTGAACACAACTCATCCCCCAACCACAGTCTCTTTCCACTCTCTGCATATTATCCCATATGATAAATCCCATATCTATCCCAAAAGTCTTTAGCCCTGGCTAATGCTGCTGTTTTGCCCATAGACAAACCCATTCCTCACTTACCTTTAAGTCTGGAATATGGAATTTACTGTTGCTGGACAGGTTGGATTTAGATGTCACAGTGTTCATTCTCTCCCACGCCTGCAGATTTGTTTTGTCTCCTGGAGCAGAAATTAGCCAGAACTCCGACATGATCTAATATTTTCCCTTCACTGCGGGTCACTGTAGATACTCAAAGCAGGTAAATGGCTAAAAGAGCACCACACAAAAGGAGCTCTTCCCTAAGAACAGAAAGAGAACAGATCACTGATTTCTTTTCTTCAGAAACACTAGGAGAGTGAGTCAGTTGTGTGTCTCAGGCTGAAATGGAACATGACCTTCTCCAGAATGTCACGGAAAGAGTGTGGCTGTTCCTTCCTTCTCAGGATTGTTCCATCCAGTTTCTGCATGAAGAAATGAAGCTTCCTCCTCCCCTTTTCCCTCCCAGCCTGTTCCATTTGCCTTGCGCTTTAAGTTCAGTGCCTACTGGGGAGCCTGGGGGCTTCACCAAACTACCCAAAAGTAATAAAGAATTTCCGCTTGATAAATATTCTCTCTCAAATTGTTGGACATTTGCAAGGAAAAATGAAAGCAAGACCTCTGCTGAACATAGAGGCTGCAAAAGATGCCACTGGCAAGACGGAATATTTCTCTCGGTGTTTTTTTTCTTCCCAGGCTCGATAGGAAGGAGCTGGAGGAAGGCAAGCCCTGGTGTACAGGGACGGTATCGGCAGAGCCACACAGATGGAGCAGTGGCGAGAACAGAGGGACAACTACTGTGGTGCGAAGCAGAGATGAGGGCAGGAGAGCAGCTGGCACCACACCGCAATCCTCCGTTCCTTCCCGAGAGCTCCCGCGGAGCATCCCCGCCACACGCCCTCGCTCTCAGGTGCGCGGGACAGGGCAGGTGCGGCACTCGCCGCTCGGCACCCGCGCCGGGCCCCGCCGTGCCAGAGCGCGGCCAGCACGGCTGTCAGGGGCTGCCGGGGCCCCGCGGGGCACTGCCCGCTGCTTTACCCGCCCGCTGCCTCTACTGCCCGCTGCCTCTACTGCCCGCTGCTTTACCGGCCCGCTGTTTTACCCGCCCGCTGCTTTACCGGCCCGCTGCCTCTCCTGCCCCTGCCGTGCCTGCCGCTCCCCGCGCCCGCGCCGCTCCCGGCGGCTCCGGGCCGGGCAGGGTCGGGGCGGAGCGCAGCGAGGCGCGGGGCGGCCGCCGCATCCACGGGAGGTGCAGGGCGTCCAGGGCTCCCTCCCGGAGCATAGCGGCTGCTGCCCTAGTGCCCTAAAAGCTCTGCCACAGCTCTGACTAGGGCAGCTTTGCATCTCATTGCTCTCTTTTAAACTGGCGCAAATAATGCAGAAGCCATTTGTTTTTATTAAACACTGACTACCTTCAGCAAGTCTGAAGCTTTTTGAATAATTAAAGACTTCTAGGAAACTCTTGTTTCCGGGACTTCCCTAAGTGCTTCATTTAACAAATATGCGGTGCCGGAGTCTGCAAAATAGCGATGCTTGCGTTCCTGGTGATGCTTCTTCCTTCACGTGTAGCTGTGGCTTTTAGTCCTTAGCAAATCTTGAGCTTGTCTTACACTGCCTTAAGCTTGATTAAGACATTGGGAGTATTTCACAGGTTGTGTGGAATGAGGTTCTCGAGACATTTCTAATCCAGGCATGCTCTGAAGGTAACAAGTGTCTAAACACTCTATACCTGCCTCTGAGAGGCATCTCTGCAAGAGGGAGTCCAGCACCCTCACTGGGGGTTATCCAGTTCTCATCTTCCAGTTGAAGATCTAATACTTAAGAATACCTGTCACATTTAGGCAATCTCTGCTATTACTAGGGACTTATTTTCTTCCAAAAATGGTGCATTTTTAACTCATGTTTCTCTGTAACAAAGGTAAATGAAGCCCCTAGAAATTAAACAGAAGGATGCTCTTGGTTTTCCACACGACCTGTCGTAAACTGAGAGGGTTTGAGATGCTGGGGGCAGGCAGCACTGGTCACGCACAGAAGCAGAGCTTTTGACATTTCCAAGGGATGGAATGAAGATGCCTAAAAGATTTAAGTGTCTTCAGCACTAGGAAGAAGCAGCTGATGCAAGACATCCTGAATGATGCCATGTAAATAATGCTTTAGGCAGCTAACATGTAGGTCAAGACTCAGACTCTAAATGTATAGATTCTTTAGGTTAGCCAAGGATTCATTTTCTTTCTCTTTAACATTTTAGTGATATATAAAAAAGCCATACATATGTGGAGAAGGCGAGTCTCTACTGAAAGCACCCCAGAAAAAGACACTGAGAAGATTTGTAGCTGAAATAACCATTTCGTAGGAATTTTTTTGTTTGCCTTTTTTTTTTTTTTTCCTTTCTAGGCTAATTAAACATTCAGCTCTCATAACTGCTATGATTCTAAGTATTTTCAATCATAGTGTCCCCTAGGGCATGACAAAGGGTTTTCCAGAAGTTATGGGAAAAAATTAACATATTGATCTGTGTGTGAGATGGCATTCACAGAAGGAGTGATTATTGTCTAATCCTTCTTTTTTTGTTTCTTTAGACTGTACATTTTAATAATTAAAACATACTTGACTGATGTTTAAGTATCTGCATCATATATATCTTTAGCCACAGCTTACAGGTCTGAAAGGTACAGTAGACCTGATCACCTAGATGAGGCAGTTCTTCCCCATCAGAAACCAAGAATAGTTCTTCCACATGAAAACCAAGAACTCCTTGTCGCAGTCTCAAGCTGTGGAAATGCTTTGCATAATTAATTTTAGAAATGTTACATTCTCATAATCTCCTTAAATTTAGAATCATGTAAGCTGAAACTAGTGCTAACAGATGAGAAAAGTTTCTTGCTGCAGTGGTGCTAGATTTTGGGAATGTTTTTCTGTACACATGCTTGTTATAACAACAAGGTAAAATCCAAGCCATAGGGTTGTTGGATTTCTGGATTCTACAATATACACTACTTAATTCCTGAACATTTTTATAGCAGGAATGCCATGGTTTTTCCCCTTCATACATGTTTTTTACTATTATTAAAGTGAAATATTTTATGCTACCTTATTGTTTTAAAAGAAAATTAAGAAGAAATAAGAACAATGTTATTGTCTAAACAATATCCTGTTGAACATTTTCCATGATCATATTTTCTCGGTTTACTGTGACTTTTCAAACTTTTTTCTTTTTACCCCATTACATATTTTTAGGCTGGATGAGGCAGCAGTGAAGGTGGAGGGGAAGGAGCAGGCAGCACATGCTGTGGAACAAGGATCGTGCTGCAGTCTGGTGGCAACACAGCTCTGCCAGCTCATTTCCCAGCTGGCCCCGCATGTGGTGCCATGTGATCTCAGAGCTGTCTAATTCCCTCATGATCATCACGTGTCTTTCTGCTCCCTTTGATCCACCAAAGCAATGAACTTTTCTGTGACTTTGCCTCTCTCAGTATTTGTGAGTACTTCTTCAGGAGCCACACAAAGGGAGCTAAACTCTGCCTCCAAACAATCATATATATACCTATATAAATACATAAATACCCTGCTTGAAGTATCTCCCAAGACAACTTTCTCCAACAGGTAACCAGAATTAATTACCTAGGCAATTGCAACACTGACACTAGAAGGAAAGCTGCTATCTCCAGCATTCTACACCTCTAGGAATTCTTTGTAGGTTCAGACATCAGACGCTGCTGAATGCCTTTTGAGGTGCCCTGGAATATCCTGTGGGGCCTTCAAGCTGCTGTTCTGGGATAACACAGGTCTTCTGCACCTTCCAAGTCACATTAACCAACCCCCCATGGATGTTTGGGATTCCTTACAACACCCAGAATTGTGGACAAGTGAATTCAGCCTTAAATGTCTATTAACAGCTCATGATGCTCTAATCAGACTGTGAAACCTGATCAAATTCACCTCACAGAAGATATTTAGTGGCTGCTGCACCACACTCCTCAGCTTAATTAACTGCATTTACCAGGGATGAGATTCAGCTGCCTGAGCTTCTAGTGCCACCAGAGATGTCCCTGCACATCCTACCTGCACATTACACTGCAGAAGGGTTTGGATTTTCCATAGGTCTTGTGTCAGCCCCGTTCAGGTGCCCTGGATACCTTATGGCATATCAAATGTCACTAGACAACCTACATATAAGCAAGTAGAGCCTTAGCTTTTCAGAAATGGGAGCTTGAACACCTAGCTTAAACTTACAGGCACCTACATTTAGGTGTGCTCATCTCCCAGGAATCTCAGCTCTAACACCCTTTAAGACAACCCCCAATAGAGCTCTTCTTAGTCATGATATTGGTATCATCATTGTTGTGATACACCATTCAGGGAACACCATGCATAAGACTAATTTGAAACTGCTTCAGTTTGCTTCAGTTCCAGAGTTATTCATTGTTAAAAATTTAGTTGTGATTTTCATTGTTTCTTCGACAAGCACATGGACTGGATATACATTATTTCAGTCCTTGGTTTTGGTCCTGTACATAGGAACAAGAATGGTTGGAATTCTGGAATTCCCCCCCAACAGTGATGCTACAAAGCAGTAAGAATGTGTCTTTCTATGGCTGCTGGCAAGGTTCTGATCAGCAAATCGTGGACTCACTGTTCTCCACGGGTAATGGACACGGCTTGCCACCGTGTCCATTATTAACCTCCTCCACCAAGGCTGCAGGAACAACTGCTGCCTTGCTGAGTTCACGTAAGGACCATGGAGAATGACGCCACGGCCTGGGCCTGACTGATGGACACTCCGGACGGACAGACCGGCTCTTTGTGTGCGGACAGAGGCCGGGCCCTGCGCAGAGGGCACACGGCCGGCCCCGCTCCTGCCCTCTCCCCGCATCCCGACCCCGGCAGCGCTCCGGGCCGCGGGCACCGTGGGCAGCGCCCAGGGACGAGGCAGCAGCGGAGCCGCTTTGCTGTGAGCTGCGGGGCCAGCGGCCCTCGCTGTCCCGCGGCTTTGCTCTGCTTGCCCCGCTCTCCCTGGTGCGAGGCGAGGCAGGGCCAGGGCCGCGGCACCGGGCCGCCCTCCCCGCCGGGCGCCTCACGCCTCCGGCCGAGGCCGAGCCGGCGGAAGCGCCTCGCCTTCCGCTTCCTCTCTGCCCGGGAAGAGGCGGGCGCGGCTGCGGCCATGCAGGTCTCCAGCCTCAACGAGGTGAAGATCTACAGCCTGAGCGCCGGCAGGAGCCTCCCGGAGGTGAGGGCAGCTGGGGGAGCGCGCCCGGCCCGGCCCGGCCCGGCCCGGCCCCGCGGCGGGAGCCGGAGCCGCGCGGTACCGGCGCGGGAGCCGAGCCCCGGCCCGGCCGAGCTGCCCCATGTGCGCTTGTGTTGGGATCGTTACCGAGAAACAGCACGGAGTGTTTCTTACATTAGAAATGCAGTTTAAATGAGTGAACCTCCGGCTGTAGCGGTGCTGGTCCACAGATCCGTAAGCAACACGACCTTGTACGTTTTCTTGGTATGGAATGGTTGAACTTATCAGGGGAAGGGAAATTGGAAGATAATCAAGAAAAAAAAAAAATTAGCGTCCTAAATGTCTTATGTTTCAAATGGCTGGATAAACTTTGATTCTCGGGTTCCTGTATGAATAATGAGCTCAGGACTGATGTATACCTTTGCTTGCAGTGGCTCTCTGACAGGAAGAAAAGAGCTTTACAGAAGAAAGATGTGGGTGAGTTTTCCCCTCGCACGGTGCTCAACAATACTCGGCTACTTCACATACATAACGTGCAGCCCAGAGGAGACTCCTCACTGACTGATACACAGAAGTTATCCCTAAGTCATAATATAAAAACTACAGAATTAAACTACAGATAGTTATTTCAACTTCTCTTGTGGCTTGACATGAACACTGCACAACCAGTGGTGTTTTAAATTTTAGACATTAAATGTTTTGAGTTGTAGATTGTAACAGAAACATGATGGATGTGTTCCATGTTGTCCCTCATGTTAAAATCAGACCATAAACTCCTCTGTGATGCTGTGCTAATTTTAGAGAGCAGGACCACATCATTTTAGCCTAAGCTTCTTACACAAAAAAGGCTATTTGGCTTCACAGGAAGTGTTATACAAGAAACTCAACCAAGAAAAAAATGCATAGAGGTAATGGGGTGTGGAATGCCTTATATAAGGCCTTAA